CGGTTGGGGCACATGCCGGGGTTATGGGCTCCATCTTTAGTGTGGGGCGTGCAGGAGGCAGCTCATCAGTGGTTCTCTCATCATTGATGTTTCTATCTCTTTCCCTCTCCCTTCCTCTCTGAAATTAATAAAAATGAAAAAAAAATTTAAAGTATAGTCGCTGTTATTTTCTCTCTGGCTGCTTTTAAGATCTCCCATTTGTCTTTGATGCCCTTGCAGGTTTGCTGTGGTGTATCTTGGTCTGGGTTCCCTTTTTGATCCACTAAGCATTTTGTGTCATTTGTCAATTTAAAATGCCCGGCCATTGTCACGTCCAATATTGCCTCCTCCCCATTCTCTGTGTCCCTTCTGGAAGCCTGGGTAACTATATGTTAGCGATTCCTCCTCTATCTTTCCTGTCTCTTAGCCTCTCTATCTTTGTATTGGATTCCGGGTAATTATTTTCAGATCTGTATTTCAGTGCATTCTCTTCACCTGTGTCCGAGTCTGCACCTTAATATATCTATTCCGTTTCTATATACTTCGATCATTCTAGCTTTCGTTTTCAGATGTTGTCTTTGGTTCTTTCTTGCCTCTGCTCAAAGCGTTTTCTGAATCCCCTTCACTTCTTTCAGCTGCGTGAGGGGCTAACGCTGGTCCATTGCTGAATTCCACAGTCCCCTCCTCGGTGGTCCAACATTCCCGATTTCTTTCTAAGGAACGTGGCCTTCGAGGCCTCTGCACTCTCCCTTTTGTTCTTTCAGACAGCTAGCATTTAGCGTTTAACTTTCCTGTGGAAGGCCATTTTCACAAAGAAACCGAACTTTTTTCCATCACTTTGAAGGATGACAAAGGACTGCAGAAGGTATTGACACTAATTCTCGGTTCTCGTCGGGCGGGAACTAGGGACTCACTCACCCGCACGTGCCTGTGACTTTCGCGGTCTAGTGCCTGAACTGAAGTATGCGTTTCTTTCTTTTTGTTTTTGAATCCTCTCCCGAGGACATTTTTCCATTGATTTTTCAAGAGAGTGGAAGAGAGAGGGAAAGACAGAGAGATTTGATGGATTGCCTCCTGCAGGAGCCCTGACCAGGGCCCGGGCCGGGGAAGAGCCTGCAACCGAGGTACATGCCCTTGACCAGAATCGAACCCCGGACCCTTCAGTCCACAGGCCGATGCTCTCTTCCATCACTTTGAAGGATGACAAAGGACTGCAGAAGGTATTGACACTAATTCTCGGTTCTCGTCGGGCGGGAACTAGGGACTCACTCACCCGCACGTGCCTGTGACTTTCGCGGTCTAGTGCCTGAACTGAAGTATGCGTTTCTTTCTTTTTGTTTTTGAATCCTCTCCCGAGGACATTTTTCCATTGATTTTTCAAGAGAGTGCCCGTCACTTTGAAGGATGCCAAAGGACTGCAGAAGGTGTTGACACTAATTCTCGGTTCTCAGGCAGGAACTAGGGACTCACTCACCCGCCCGTGCCTGTGACTTGCGCGGTCTAGTGCCCGAACTGAAAAGTATGCGTTTCTTTCTTTTTGTTTTTGAATCCTCTCCCGAGGACATTTTTCCATTGATTTTTCAAGAGAGTGGAAGAGAGAGGGAAAGACAGAGAGATTTGATGGA